CCAGCGCAGCGCCCCCTCTGCGGGCTCCCTGGCTCATGCAGGGGTGAGGAGCTGGAGGTCCAGGGTGGGCAGGTCCTGGGGTCCCCTGCGGCCGCAGAAGTGAGAAACACCGTTTGAGACTCGGGCGAGGGGAATAAAAAAGGAACTGGCGGTTTCTAACAAAAAATAGACTTCAAAAACTGTTTGCCAGGCCATGCCCTCTTGTCCACCCTGTCTTTCTTCGCCAGCTCACCTTTCCCCTTCTTGAGAGTCCTACCGAACGGGGTCTGGCTTTAGGCCCCAATTCACACCCTGAGCTGGGGGCCAGTAACAGAATGAAAAGGGTGACGATGATAGGCGACATGGCGTTCATGAGCGAGTGAGGCTCAGGGTTAAACTTACACCTGGTGGAGCAGGCCAGGCACGAGCACAGTGCTGGGGACACACGGCCCTGCGTTGCCCTCTCCGGGCTCTGTTTGCCTCTGCTTCACCTGCTCTTTAATAAGCAGCTCTGGCTGGCTGCCTGCCTTGCTCCTGCCCCGAGAGGAAACTAATGCACACCAGACAGCGCGCTCAGTGGGAGTGCCTTTCCGAAAGCACTCTGCCTGAACTGTTTGGAGAGTACCTGTCAGCTTCGTATTGACTTTTCTCTGCAGCAGGGGCCATGCTTGAAGTGATCTTTGCCTGCTAATGGGTACGGGATTAGCACCAGAATTATAGGCTAGTGTTTCGGAAAACTGCATGGTCAGACACTTCAGTGCAGCCTGTAAGATTCCCCCCACCCCACCCACCCCCAGGAGACAGCACCATGAAGCACTTTTTTGTTCATTTTCCTTTTGCAGTTTTTTTTCTTGATGCAGAAGCACAGTTCTACGGCAATATTCTAATTGTTTTTCCCAATCCTGGTAAATTTGGCATTTTTTCTAAGATAAAAAATAGCTTTCTAGCTGCTTAAAGGAGAAGATTTTGCCAATGAACACCTGACAGTGTCAATTAAATGTGATTAGTAAATGTGACGATCAGACAACACTTCGCATAGTTTACTTGGAGTAGTTGAGGGTTTGATGTAGACGACCTGATCATTGTGAGTCAAAGATTTTTATTTAATCTAAGTTTCTGCTCATTCACACAAAGCTGTTTTAATAAGAGTCAAGTTTGTTATAATAGAAAGCGCTAGAGGAGGCTTGGTCAATTGGTCATGTGTTACACATTGCACATCAGGGTGCATACGTGGAGAATATATTGATTACGAACCAGGCCAGCCATTCAGACTGTATGTGTGTATGTCCTCTGTATGTTGGCATTGTCTGTGTTTAATACATGGAGAACAGGAAGAAACGTTAATGAATTTTCTCTGTTGTTCTGTCCGGATCAAAAGCTGGGTTTGTTAAACAAGTTAATTCAGGGCATTGCAGTCCTGGAGTTTGAGATTCTGACAAATGCATTGCTGAAACTGCCTGAGAACCTGTGTTTGTGCTTCTGCAGGGGAAGTACATGGACATAGAGTTTGACTTCAAAGGCGACCCCCTGGGCGGAGTGATCAGCAACTGTGAGTACCAGCTCTGCATGCCAGCTCATGCCCACCTGGCAATCCTGCACAGCAGCCCCAGTCTTCACCCCAGCGGGGCATCGTACAGTCTGCAGCTCTTTGTCATCGCCACGGCGTAGCTTTAATTAAAATTTTTTGCTTTAATTATCTTTAGCAGTAACATAACAGGATAACTCATGATCGTATCGATAAATGGCACCGTCTGCTGCGACAGTAGATTCTTCATAGGCTGGGCGGAACATCGCTGTAGGAAATTGTGAAGTTCAGCTTTTTTTTTGGTCTCCATTATGGTTCGCAGGTCGCGTAGCTTGTCTTGAAAAGGTTGTTAGAGCGCAGGAAGGGTTTCAAACGGGAGGCCCATCCAGTTCTTTTGGTTACTAGTTGCTAAGCGATCCTAGGATCTCTTGGGAACAAACTGTGCTGCTGTTTCTTGAAACACGGTATATTTCTTTACTGCCTTCTTGAAAGAAGCAAATTTATCGGCTCCAGCACCTTGCCCGCTCGTGCTTCTCCCATACTCCCACAACCCTTTGTTTAAAAAAGAAAGTGCCTCCTTTTGTTGGATGTTGTTTGGAAACAGTTTCCCCTTGTGCCCACTTGCTGTTGTTGAAGTCCAGCAGGTGTATAACCATGTATTCCCAGTATAACCATGGACATTGTGTGGCCTCAGTTAAAGAGGGGCTGCAGACAGCCATTTCAATGGCCGGTGTGTTTTTAGAAGTTGAATGCCTGTTATCTGTATGTGGCTGTGTGATGAGCTGGCGTCCTGGGGGAGGGTCTCACCCTGTGAGGATTAAACTACCACTCTGCACTGCTCTCTGACTCGGGATTACCCTGACGCCTCGCACCAACGAGTCTGTCACTTTTCCGAAGACCAGTTTCATTCCTAATGCTGCTGTAGTGGAAGGATGTTCCAGCAAGGAATTTCTGAGACTTGTATTGGATTAGCCAGTAAGGCAGCATCCCCATCTTAGCTGGTTTTACAGATACGGGAAGCTGAATAGGCCTGTGTTCCGAGCAGTTCAATACAGGTCGTGGGTGTTTTGAACTGGGCCAGCGATGCAGAGTCCAAGCCCACAGCGCGCTTCAGCCCTCTGAGAGCAGGAGAGAGCACCGGATGTAGCTCGTGATCTGTGGCACAGACTTGGAACCTGCTTGCTGGGGCGTATGCATGAATCCAGCTCTCTCGTCCTATCGTGCTAAACTCTCGTGCATCAAGTAGAAGAGTTTACTCATCTCCTCATTTCACACGTACACTGTATTAGTTTTATCACAGTGTTCATTTCATGCAGAATTCTTCCAGTTCACTGACTGGAAGGTACTGGCCGCCCACTCTGCTCTCGAGCTGGCTGAGCAGTGTGTGGACTGTGGACAGCATGCTGGGTTGCTGCACTGGTGTAGATGGTCTCCACTCTGCTCTGAGCTGCAGGGTGGACAAACGTTGCCGAGCCTGTCAGTGTGCACATGGGTTACACTACCAGCCAGTGAAATGGACCCCCCCCCCACATTAATTGGCAAATGCAGTTGGCGGGACGTCCTGTAGAAACTGTGGTTGCGGATCCCACAGCAATGTGGCATCGGCCCAGCAGCGGATTTCGAACGAAATAATCTTTTTTCTTTGCTTAATTGCATATTAATGAGTTATACGCATTTATCTTTGATTCTCTACACACCCCGCCCACCTCTTACAGATCATAATTAGCTTAGAAGCAAACCTGACAGTGTGGGTTTAGAATTGTTCTTCCTTTCAAGTCTGTGCCTATGAATTATTAAATATTGTGAGACTCCTGTGGTTGCTCTGCCCTGCTGACAGGAAACTTCTCCTGAATGCCTGATTTATGCAAACAGACTGCCGCTGAACTTTTGTTTTTGTAGATAAAATAGGACGAGCAGTTTATTTTTTTTGAGGATATTTCTTCAAAGGCTACCAGCCAAACCTTGGCTCTTTCACACACGGGAGCATCTTTTTTCCAGCGTTGCCCGAATTTTGCTCAACATTCTCATGGGTGACGTGCAAACATTGCAAAAGACCATATCGGTACCAAGGCGAAGAGAGTTTGGTATTTAAAAACGTGGAGTTCTTTTTGCACTGGGGCAAAATCTTTAGGAAGTTGCCTTGTTTGTGACTGACTGGGCTGTTTGCTGATCCGACATTCTTGTGGACAGAAAAAAAGGTTGTGTGCATAAAAGGTCGCATTTGTTTCTCAGAGGGAAAATAATGCTTGCTGTGGGTGAACACCGTTTTTTTATACTGTGAAACTGGAAACTGTATGAAAAACATGTCTGAGACGCTGTGCTCTATACTGCATTCAATGTGTGGGTGGAACTATGAGGCAGCGTGCCAAGTTTCCCTAGGGAAGTTTCTCCAAGAACACCTTCAGCTGCCTTACCCTTTAGAGTGGAGGCTGTTTGTAGAACCTGCAGCAACATCTGATGTTCTATTATAATAAAAAATAATGTAGCCTCCACAGCAATTATACGAAAAACAAAAAATGAAATTTGATTGTTACCGAGTTGTAGGGCACAGAAAGTAAGCACAATCTTCAAGTTGCTAAGGGCTGATTAATAGTACCCCCATTTTCTGAAGTGGAGGTCACGAGGCGTGGTTTAAAATGTAACTTCTAAGCGCCTGCAGAGTTCCAGACGAGAGTGGGCAGACTTCCACGTTTCATTCATTTAACAGGGATAATTTGGGGGACAGAAGGGAAGGGAAAATATCCGTTATTTGTTGAAGTTGGAAATGCTAAGGATGCTGGGATTTGTGGTACTGGGGACCCCACCAGGGTGTGGAAAGTGGAGTCAGTGCCAGAGGACTGATGCACATCAACCCACAGTTCCCTATTGCAGCATATAGAGAGGGTTAACCACACTTGCACAGTCCTGCGGTTCCGGGGAAGCAGCCTGTCTCCCTCTCTGTGTCCTTCCCAGCTTTTCTTTTGTATTGTCTATATACAGACCCCAGGGAAGTCATGATGTGGGGAACATCACTGGAAATTAGTTTTTAATTTTCATTGAACAATTTCAACTAGACTGAGCCAAGTATTCATAGTTGCCATGAGGGGAAGCTTCATGTATTCCTGGTGCCTCAGCAGTTATTTGTGTGTTTTTTGGGTGGCGGTCTTCTTCTACAGCAAGGATGTTCATTTGTAGCTCTTGACCCTGCTGGGATGTGTCCATATGGGTGATCTCCCTCTCTCTCCTCCTCTCCGTTTCCTCACTCGGTTCAGCTCATTGCTCTGCAGCCCGGCCTTAAGGACTGTTCGGACTGTTGTTGTGGAACTGGGGTTGTAGGGGTGGCGAGCTGTCCCGGAGCTGGTCTCTCCTGTGTCCCTGCCATCTCGAGCAGGGAGTTGTGTATCCGCTGGAGCAATCCAGTCTCTGCTCTGAGGAATGGTGCTCGATTTGTGCTCAGTATTCTTTCTGGCTGCCTGCGTGCTGTGGGATTGCATGCACGCGTGGGTAGGCCGGCCTAGGTGTGCCATAAAACACCGCCCTGGGTCCGGCTAGTGTTGCCACCAGGTACCGACGAGACACGGGTCCTCTCGGTCATCGCGGAGAAGAGCGCAGAGCTGCGCAGACAGCTGAGTCAAGGGCCCAGCAGCCAGGAAATGCCTCACATTCTTCCTGCAGTGGGAAACAAGCGTTGCTGTTTGTTGCAGACAGGACGGCTGAGATGAATACGAGGGTCCGAGGCATGGCTGCTGACGTTACAGTTCACGGAGCAGGTCTCGCCTCTGCTGTCGTTTGAAGGGAGACGGAGCAGATTTGTATGCAAACGCGAGACTATTTCCGTGCGACGTGTCGTTTTTCAGTTTGGCCTGAGAAGCTGATGTCCGAAGTGTCAGATGAGGCAGAGCAACAAAGCTGTGGTACAGTTCATACAGAGGGCTATTCCTGGATGAACCTTACCTTCACTAATGAATTGACACAGCACATTTCAGCCCAGAGGACCACACAGTGCTTGACATGTTGGAGGGGATCTCCACCCTGTCCTCTGCCCGCAGCCCCCCAGCACAGCAGATCAGGGTTTATTTTCCCCAGATGTGGAAAAGCGATGAAAAGGCGCGATGCACAGATATAGAAGCTGGGCTGGTGTTTTTGGCTGTTTGAGGAGGCCGGGCTGTTCTCGCTTTCTTGTTGTGATTACAGCTCAGTTACAGCACGCAACACGACCCAGAACAAAGAGCAGAGCTGTTCTCCTCCTGTGAGGAGCTGCAATATTGATGAGGCTCCAGCGAGCAGAGCAATGTTCCAGCGCCAAGCTCCTCAGAGAACAATGGCAGGAGGCAATGAGTCCTGATCGCCTATTTGCTTCTAGCTGACCGCTGGCTTTCAACAAGTGGAGATCTCTAAGAGATCACTTTATTGGCCATATACAATTTCTTGCATTAGGAATTTGTCTTTTCGCATGCCCCAGCTTGCTCTCCATGAGACACATAGGCACACAGGCGGGGAGAGAGAAGCTCGGGGTCAGAGCGCAGTGTCAGCCATTCATATGGGCCTTACTCAGTGGCCCAACGGAGTAGGATTCCCCTGCTGGCCACGGGATTTGAACCAGCAACCCTCCATTAGGTGCAGATCATTAGCCACAGAGCCACCCCTCCGAGATCAGTTAGATTTGTAGTACATCATCCATTTTCACTGGAATTAGTCCTGCTGTGCGCTGTAGTACTGGTCTCTGTTCTTCGTGTCTTACTGGCTTGGACCCGAGTTGAGCTGCACTATGAAGGGAAGTCCAGCTCCCTCTGGACCCACCTGATTCCCCTTCTCTAGCTGAAACAAGACGACACCCTGACTCTGTGGGACTCACTAACCGCTGTAACTCGCTCACAGAGCTCAGAGCAGATTTAACTGGAGCTTGCCTTCCGGCACATATCTGCATCAGAATAGTGTCAGAAAAACACCGTGTCGCGAAATTCCTTTGAAGTTGCAGGATACTCGAGTGCTCGAGAAGTGCTCTTCTCTCATCAGATGACTTTCTCTGATACTGTCAGTCAGTACCTCTGCTGTCAGCTCAGGCTGATCTGCTTTGGAGAGTTTTAGTTCAGTTTATTTTATCCCACCCCACCCCCAGATCTCCTGGAGAAGTCCCGTGTGGTCAAACAGCCGAGAGGAGAGAGGAACTTCCACATATTCTACCAGCTTCTATCAGGGGCGTCAGAAGACACGCTGAGTGAGTGAACATCTTGTTTTCATTCTTATTTCTGGTAACCATGTGAGCGCACAGAGGGTCACAAAGTGGCCCAGTGTCTTTAATTGGAAAGATTAATTAAGGACCTGCGATTGAACGGTTGCAAAGACTTTTACGCACCTTTGTGTATGGTGTGTAAACCGTAAGAGAGCTACAGTAGTACAACACTCTAAAATCCGTCTCGTTTATACCTTTTGATCTCCGTCTCTCAGACGTCTATGCTGTGTTAACAGAAATGGACTATTGATTCCGTGAGGGTGAACACTATTACTGCAATCTAAGTACTTACCCCCATGCACCCCTATGACGTGAAATATTTTGCCAAAGCAGGCCGGATGGGGGTTTCCATGCAGGTCTGGCACTGAGCTGCTGTTTGTGCTTCCGTGTCTCCCACAGAGCGGCTGAAGCTGGAGAGAGACTTCAGCAAGTACAACTACCTGAGCCTGGACTCCTCTGCTGTCAACGGGCTGGACGACGCTGCTAACTTCAGGACTGTGCGAGTGAGTTAGCTGCTCGCAGGGAATGACTCCGGGCCCAAGGGCACAGCACTGTGGATAAGGACGGTTTCAGACAAAAGAGGAGGTCCCTCGGCAGACCGAGCCCATCCGCTAGCTGTGTGCTAACTGATTTGAGGGTCTCCCACAGTCCAAAACGATGCTGGGGTGTGAATTGGCTTCTGGGAAAATTGGCCCTGGTGTGAGTGTGTGCGCATTTGTGTCCGTCTGTCCTGCGATGGACTGGTGTCCCGTCCAAGGTATATCCTGCCTTGTGCCCATTGCTTGCAGGGATAGGCTAGAAGCGGTTAAAAAATGGATGGATGGACAGTCGTTTTTTGGAATTTGTCAGGATTTTGGCTAGCTGGCTTGTTCCACGTTGCCACAAGCTAAAGGTTTTAATGAACAAGTGTCACGTATTAGATCCTGGATTAGAATCCAGGTCCTGTGCTGTGTCCAGTGTGGGTTCACACAACCCCCGAGACCCCTTTAGTAAATTGCGTTGGGACATGTCCAGTATGGCCGTAGGACACTTTGTGGACTGTGCAGGTTGAGGTTTGTTTGAAGGTTTACTCTAGGTGTTTGAATCGCCTCAACTTTCTGATTCAGCTTTAGAACAACCAGCTCTTGAACTAACTGATTGTCGCCCGAGTTGCTTTATTAAGATGCTGGTTTTCGCCAGGACCTACACAGGAAAGGACAGAATCCATGAGAAGTGGAAGCCCTATAAATGTCCTTTCGCAGACAGCCGGCTGCAGCCTGCCTCTGTAACCAGAGCTGAGCTGCTAACACGGTCAGGTCCAGAAGCAGTCTGCTCTGCACAGTAGCTGAATACTCACTTGTTGATTGGAGGAGGCATTCAAATATTTGGGGAAAATACAGAGCTGCCCGTCTCCTCACCTTCTCCACCCCCCACCTCCCCCCACTGTTTCTAATTTTCAGAACTGTTTCCAGTCTGGATGTCGTGTGATACAGTAGCTCTGGAGTTCCCTGACTCTTCCGGCCTGACTGAGCGGAGCACAGCTGCTCACGCAGACAAATAAACACAGCTCTCAGGACAGTGCAGGAGGGACAATAGAGCACATTATAGTAAAACAATGAAAGGCACACCAGGCGAGATCCTGCCTGACAGGCTGTGCCAGAGATATATATACACACACACACAGCTGCCTTTAGAGGACCTCCCACTGACTCCGTTTTTATTTACTGTCCTACACGCCACTGATTCACAACAAAAAAGAGTCAGCCCAGAGCAGGAAGTGGTTTTAGATTTAAGAAAAGATGCCAGGTGATTTCTAAAAAGACAGTTACTGTGTCAGTACGCCCCCCGCAAAGCTTATGTTTTACTGTCATTGTGTCATTGTGAGACTTTCTGGGATGTAGCTCCTTGCACATTTAGTAAATTGGATCTCTTCCACTGTACAGTACCATGAAACACAAACCAGAGGACATAGCTGGAAGTGAGTGTAAAATCGCGACACGGCCTTTACTCAAAGGGTTGTGGGAGTGTGGAACAGACTACCCAGATGTTCAGTTGAAGCCGATACCCTGGTTTCCTTCAAGAAACAGATAGATGAGATTCTTGGATCAATTGTTTACTAATTATGCAACAGGCTGGATGGCCTGAGTGGCCTCCTCTTGTTTCTAACCTTTCTTATGTTCCTGCGTATTATGTTCCTGCATATAGACCTATAATTCAATTCAGAGCATATGGCAGAGAGGCATCAGTGTCACCAGGGAGACCATGCAAACTCCACACAGACATGTGCCTTTGGCTGAGATTGAGCCACCCTGTTAGCTCTCATAAAATCAGTTAATGATTATGATGTATACATGTGTGGCTTAGATAGATAGATACTTTATTGATCCCGTGAGGGAAATTGCACTACAATAGCAGCTTGGCAACATCAACACAGCACAGTGTAACGAAGTGATACAATAATACAACAATACAATACAATCAGTAAAGTCAGTGAGAAGTGCACTAAGAAGAGTTGATCACAGTCCAGAATATCCAAAGAACAAACCAGAACAGTACACAAGTTTTTTGTGCACATTATAAATATAAATATATTGCACAAAAAACAGTTTTAGACGGGAAAAGCCACATGTAAACAGAGTTTACTGTTTAGTCCAAAAACAGGTCAATGTCAGTGTTGCCCCTGCCCAGACACACAGTGGATGCGTTTGTACAGTCTTATGGCAGAAGGCAAGAATGACTTTCTGTAGCGCTCCCTGTCGCCCCGTGGTTGGATCAGCCTATTGCTGAACCTGCTCTTCATTCTCACAAACGTGTCATGGAGGGGCTGGGAGACGTTGTCCATGATGGCCTCTAGTTTGGACACCATTCTCCTCTCAGCCACTACCTCCAGGGGGTCCAGGCCAGACCCAATGACTGAGCTTGCTCTTCTGATCAAGCTTCTTTGAATGGTCGTCCTTATGTGCTGTGTTTTCCCCCTGTTATATAACGAGGAGCGCGAGTAGAACCGAGCTCCAGATCTGTTGTGTAAGTCCTCGTCGGCGCAAATTAACAATGTTCTCTAACTAGGACACGGCACTTCAAAGCCAGATAACTTCTCTGTGAAACAAACAAAACGGTGCACTGAAGTGTCAGGCGGGGATGAATTATGCAAGTGGACTCGGGAAGAGAAAAAAAAATATCACATATTCCGGATGATCACGTCTGTTTTAGCTGTAGCTTCCTAATGTAAGGTGACAGTGTTCTGGTGCAGAAAGCCACTTCAGGCTGGGGAACCGGCTCGTTTGGGAGCTCAAGCAGTGGCGAGGTCGCGTTAATCAGTGCGAGCGAGGCAGCAGCTCGGCCCTGTGAGCCCACACACCTGTGTTCTGCACAGGCAGCCTTTCTCCGAAGCCAGCGCACATGGAAAGGTTAAGCTACTGCGCGATAGTGCAGCTCCTGTGAGAGGCTGCAGCGCAGGATTGCCGCTCGTTAAGTGGCAGAGTGATTATCCTAATTGGCGCGTCCGGCTCGCTCAAGCCCTCTCATGCTGGCAGTGATGAAGACTGGTGAGGGAGCACATCAAGTCCCAGACCGCTCTCCGCTCTTTCGGTGCTGATAGCTGTTTGTTTTTTTTATTCTGTAGCTCTGGAGATGGACGCATGTTACATTGTGCTCTGAAGGTGGTGTTCTTTTTTCTCTCCAATTTGGTTTTTAAATGAAAGGCCTGGAGCTCTTAGATTAATGCAAAAAGCAATTCTTGAGCACAACGCAGAACCTTCTGGCTCGTCTTCCTCGTGATCTGGTTGGGTTCATTATTCTCACAACTGGATTAACCTGACGCTCTCGTCTAGCAGTGAAGCCTCCTGGGCTGACACCCCTGAAGCACAGAGTCAGAGGCCCTTGGGCTAGAAACTCCGTGCAGGCAGACAGACGCACATTGTCCTGCCCTGCTGATGGGGAATTATTGCCCTTCTGTAATCAGCACTTCCACCTTCGTCCAGGAACCGAGAAATGCACAAAGGAAACAGAAAATGCACAAAGATAATTTGGAATTTATCCAGACAAAAAAAAATAGCTTTTTTTTCCCCCCCAGAGTCCTTCATCCCTTGCACTTTGAAAGGCCTCAAACTGTGTCCCTTGAAATCACTTTGATATCAAATATAATCCAATGGAATAATTACATAAGATGGTGCATGAGTGAACTGCCCTTTGAGCAATACTTGTCGATCATGTCCGGTCGCTGGGCATGTCTGTTCATGCCTTATCCCCTCTTTCTCTCTCTCCCTGCAGAATGCCATGCAGATTGTAGGCTTCATGGAAGATGAGGTGCAGTCGGTGCTGGAACTGGTGGCTGCAGTGCTCAAGCTGGGCAACATCGAGTTCAAACCCGAGTCCCGGGTCAACGGGCTGGACGAGAGCCGGGTCAAGGACAAGAACGGTGAGAGCCTCCAGGGGGCGGTAGAGAGCTCAGACGCCTGGGGCCGGATACTCATAACTAAAACAATTTCCACCCGGCGTCCATATCCCTCCCTCCCTTTTTTTATTAAATACGAAAAACTCTTTTAAGTTGCAAAACCAACAAAATGAGTAAGTTCCCTGTGTGGACTCCTGAATTAGTGTTGCATATGGTGTGGCACAAGGTCAAAAATGTGTATTTTCTAATGATCAAAAATACCATTGGGAAGTTACCATAGAGGGAAAGTATTTTTTAGAGAATGTGGTTTCACATGTCCGTTATTCAGTAATTTGAAACTGAGAAGCCCGACAAAGGAGGTTTTAAAAGGTCTTTAAGATCAGGTATGAACTGACAACTTGGTGATCTGTCTATAAAATGAATAATAATAATAATAATTCCTTACACTTATACGGTGCTTTTCTGGACACTCCACTCAAAGCCCTTTACAGGTAATGGGGACTCCCCTCCACCACCACCAATACATCTCTGCTGCCCTTCGGTATTCTAATGCAAGAGCTAAAAGCGGATTCAGCATTTTAAAGTACTCTCTTGGAATACAACTGTGGGTTGTAGTTTTTTACTCTTGCAATCCTACAGTGTCACGCCTACTATCTAAAGGCACATATCAGTAAGGTACAGAAATGGCAGTTTAATTATAGATGTTCAACCGAGAATTCTCAGCTCACCTGGCTGATCACTGCTGCCACCTACTGGGTATTTAAATATCTAATTGATTGGGGCTTGTAGTAAACCAGATGAAAGATACTGTCAACTAATATTGGTCATCTTCACTCTCTAATTTCTGTATTCCCTTTCAATCCTTCCCTCCCTGGGAGGCTGGATCTATGCTGTGACTGTGTATTTTAAAAGGCATAAAAGTCCTCTTGAATCACTTGCTCTGTCTCCTGATATGTGCTGTGTAGACTTTTTCATGGAGAACATTGGTAATACCACTTGCCATACAGAATACACAGCTCTCATTTTTCCACTGAATCCAGACTCATATCTTGCGTATATCGTACATGAACAGCCAGGAGCATCTCCAGCTAACATTACAAATCCTACAAATCATTACAGATCCCCTCTGAGAATCTCATAAATGGCTTAGACTATGTGCCGGGCTCTGTCTGGCTAAACTGCGAAAACAATTTGTTTTTGCTTACGTAAGGCATTAGTCTCAAGAGCACATTCCACTGTGCTGTGGTTTGCTCTTGCCTGATGTTTCCTGTTCTCCCCCGATTTGAATCTGTTTTCAGATCATAGCAGCACAGGTCTCAGCAGCAGCACAGAGCTGTCCTGTGTAAATCAGTGTGTGTGTGTGTGAAGCCGGGGCGCAGAGACGTCTGTCTTTCACTAGCAATTTTGTGTTTGTGCCCCACCTGTTTAGCTTGTTGTGCTGTTGCATCGTGAATTGAGCCATCGTCATCAGATCTTGGCTGGCGTTGCTCCTAGCCAGTAAATGGGTGAATAAAGTAATAAAGAGTCTGAGCTGGGATGGATACCAAAAGATGCTCCAGTGGTAGAACACCTGTTGCTGCCCATGTGTCCACTCACTGGCCGCTGCCCTGACCCCAGGTGTGTATGAGCTGGTCAGTAGGAATGGGCCCAGTCTGTGTCCTCAGGATGCTAATTTCGAAAAAGACACGGCGTAGCGCGCAGCTTTAATTGGGATATGTGGGATCCAATCCAGCGCACATGTTGTGTTTGTGAAGAGGTGTGGAGGAATTCTTTGGCGTTTGTTGTTTTCAGGAGCTGGTGGCGGCCCTGGCTGTCTGAACATTGCTGGAATTCCTGCGCTGTTTGTGCGCCAGGGTATCGGTGGCGGGGGTGCCAGGCACCCTGGCTCGCTCACACGCCACTCCGCTATCTGGCCATCTCTCCCTCTCCTTCTGAAAGAAAACAGCTTCAGGTTCCGCAGAGGCTTGGCTTGTGGCTGAGGTAGTTTCGGGCAGTCGAGTGTGCTGAGCCCGCCCAGATCTGTGTGGAATCCAGCCAAGACTTCGGCTTGCCTTGCTGCTCTGCTGTAGTGATCTGTGGACGTGCTTGGTTGTGATGCCCAGCAAGCAGGTGGCAGTAACAGAGGGGAGATCTGCATCCCCACTGAGTGAGAACTGGAGTTGGGTGGCCACAGTCCAGTACAGTCTTCTGGGGTAGGACACTGCTTGGGGAGCCAGACAGATCCCTTAGTATGGGTCACTAAATTAGCTGAGCAAATGGAGGGAAGTCCACAGCTGATCTAGCCAGAGACAGTCCAGTTCTATATGAATGTCTCCCCTGCTCAAGGGTGGAATGCTGGATGCAGGGCAGAAGCTCAGAGCTTTTTCCTTTGCTCACTAAACTGTTTGCATGTTCGTTTTATTCCTGACCCTGAAGCTTCAGATGCCTTGGGCTTTTCCTAAAATTGCCTCACGTTCTGATTCCAAAGTGCTTGCTTGCGTTGCAGAGCTGAAGGAGATGTGCGAGCTGCTGGGGATCGAGCAGGGGGTCCTGGAGAGAGCTTTCAGCTTCCGCACCGTGGAGGCCAAGCAGGAGAAGGTGTCCACCACACTCAACGTGGCACAGGTGGGGTCAGCTGAGGGTCAGAGGTCACGCACTCTTCAGGATGGCCGATCTAAAGCCATCATATCCCCTTTACAGGAAAGCGAATGAGAGAGGGAGTCTTCTTCTGCATCTTATTGCTCTGACACGTTTAGAAAATGTGCTTCTCCATTGATTGCATTTTCCCTTCATTCCCTGTTTGTTCACAATTGAAAAGGGCTAAGCTGTTGTACAGTGCCTCTTAAACTGTGACTTAATGTGATTTTTGTTTGTTGCAGGTTATTGTATTTCTTACCTCATGCTGTCCTTATCCATTTGTAATGTGAACACTACAGTCTCCTGTAGGCGTCTTGCATGCTTCTAGACACACCACACACAGATAAACAGCCTTTCTGCTTCACTTGGCTCTTCTTAAGAGTCTATAATCTTTATTAGTCTTTTTTCCTTCTCAATATTATAATGACAGTTTTTAAGGTTTCCTTTGAAACGAAGTCCTACAAAAGATGGAACATTAAGGATTATATGTCTCCCTCCAGTATAAAGTTGTCCGTGTACTTCTAAGACTGTCTCTAGAGGAAACATGCCACACTCACAAATTAACAAAGCTGTTACACAATCCAGAAACTTCTTCTGTAAACATCCGGCCACTTAAACATAAAAATGGGGGGAGCGCACTGAATGAAATATAATTCCAGCGTTTTAGAAGATCTATACCGCTGGCAAACGGCCAAAGTGCTTTAAGATGGTTCAAGATCAGCAAACGAGGATTTTTCTTGAAGCACGTTCAGATATGTCTTTGCTTGTAGTTAAATATTTAAACAGAATTAGTGGCAGAGGCAGACACGCCATCATAAGTGCAATTAGGACAGTCGTGTGGAATAGGCTTCTGAACAGGAAAGAGCCATCTTCACGTTATTTTTTTCTGCAGATTTGCATCATCCAGAGTGAGGAAGTGTGTGTCTGTTGTCTGAGGCTGGGGAAGGTGTGCTTCCTCGTTACTAAGACTGCATTGCTTGTATTTTCCAGGCCTACTACGCCAGAGACGCCCTGGCTAAAAACCTGTACAGCCGTCTCTTCACCTGGCTGGTGAACCGAATCAACGAAAGCATTAAGGTACTTTCTTTAACCACTGTCTGGTACCGGCCTTTTCCTGGGTCCCTGGAGAGCTCCTTTTCCAAACGGGAATGTGGTGGTTGATCACTCCTTAGGAACTAAAACAAAAGGCAGAAGGTTGGGTGACATGGTATGCCAGTGAGCGTCTGTGCCTCACGGTTTTTAGGTAATGGGTTCGACTCGGGACCGGGGATCCTTCTGTGGGGAGTCTGCATGCTCATGTAGGTTTTTGCCGGGCCTTCAAGTTTCTTCCCACCTCCCACAGACAGTTGTTGTGTGTTGTCCATTTCTGACTTGGGGCATGGGGGTCTACCTGTCAGATTTGGTGGGGGGGTTCAGGTTTCCTAGTTTGGGAATGAGCGTGAGGGGTGCTTCCAGTAAGCCCAGTACTGGTTATGTGACTGAATCAGAACACAATGAACATGATGGGTCAAGCGGCCTCCTCTCATCGGCACCCACTATAATTCTGGTTCTGGCTGCACTGACGCCCGTTTCCCTCTTGTTTCAGGCCCAAACCAAAACACGGAAGAAGGTCATGGGTGTCCTGGACATTTATGGGTTTGAAATCTTCGAGGTGAGTGCCACCCCATTCACGTTTCACATACAGGGTCCGTGCTCTCCAGCTGGGAGTTCGCTTCGGCCACACCTGTGGGTTAGAGAAGTGCCTCCTGTTCTCAGGAGGCTGTTAGGCCGGTCTGGCCTGTTTGGTTGTTAGTAGTTAATTGATCCAAAGTTCTCATCTAGCAGTTTCTTACAAGAGGCTCCTTCAACAACATAGCTGAATAGCTTGTTCCCGACATCACTTGAAGTCAAGGCCCAGTAAACATGTCAGAAGAGGGACATTCTTTGAGGTTCTTACAATTCATTATTTTTCTTTTGCTTTGTCTTTTTCTTTCTTAGCAAAGCAGGTCATTATTATTGTATTTATTTTGACTGGATATTTTATGTCCTTTTATGTTTTATGCGCACCCATATTGGGTACACGTGGGGCACTCTGAGTGATGTACAGCAACAGGGCCGCGTCTGGGATTTGAACCCACAGCCTTCCGGGTACAAGCCACGATTCTTAACCACTGCTCCTACATTTGTACAGACGCCTCTTTGTGGGTTTCCCTGTTTTGTAGCTATCTTTGTCTAGATCAGTTTGTTTAGTCTCTGTGTGTTTCTACTTCGTATTCGGCCTTAGCCGTGCCTGTTGTTTTTCTTGTGTGTATGTGAATCTGTGTGTGTGTCGGCATGTGACTGGGTGATAGGTGCTGGGGCTGTGTGTGTGCTGGATGAGGGTTGTTTCTCTTTGTCCCTTTTTCCATGAGGATTAGAAACGCTGTGTCAATGAATTGATCAAAACAAATAAAGAAAGTAAAGGGTAGGACATGTCATGTGCTGTTTCCAGCTCGGAAGTGTAAGTTGACACAGCAGGAGCCATAACAACGATAACACTCTGTACCACTGAGGCAGAAACCAAAACAGAGTGCCTTTGCTTGTCCTTCATTCCTGAATATTTTGCCCCTTGGGTCCGGCAGTTCAGACCTGCCTGTTACTGGGTGCTAGTTTTTTTCTATTTAGAATGCAGGTATCGTCTTCAAAGTGTAGGTATTTTTTTCGAGGCAGTTGTGCAGTGGCTACAGTGTCTCCAGACTGTGCTTTTTTTCCTTAAACAGAGCTGACTGGGAAGGAATGTGTTTTCCTGGTTGCTAGGGTGAAATGGCAGGTCGTGAGGGAGGGCAGGCTCTGGGTGTTAAGTTTCTGAGATGTGCGTAAGAAACGGCTCTCGTCCTGCTCGCCCAGGAGCCTTACTGAGCCTTACTGTGAGGGCTGATGGCCAGAGGCACACCACACTCCTGTTCTCAGCTTTCGGAAGGGCGCGGCAGCAGGAGCTGTTCTCCTTGCCCAAAGCTGGTTTCATGGAGTAGGCCAGCCCGTTCTGGGACCGGTGTTCATCTCTATATCTCAGATATCGGACATTGGCAGATGTGTGTCGGACCTGGTCAGACGTTTCTGTTGTAGTTCTGGAGGTTAAGGCCCAGACCTAAACTCCAGCTGTCTTCAACGCCAAATTGGGCTCTTTTTTCTCACCTTTTTTTAGCCAGGGTTGTATGGGTTCAAACCCAGGCTCGTAGAGCAAAGAAGGTTGAGTTCTGCAGGGAAGGCAGGAGCCCTTGAAGAAATGGGGTACCTGTGTAAACCCTAGAAACTTTGCTTTCGGATTTTCAGCATGGATATTATTTCATTGGACCTGAGCTGTAGGAAAGCTAATTAAGTTCACTAACTCCTACTACTGGTAACTACCCAAGTGCTGCTAATTCACAGCCCTTGAGGGCACTTTCCAGTGTTTTGTTTCTGGTATCGTTTTCATTTCTGCCATTTTTTCATTTTTTAAATGTTCCACGGGAGGATCTTCTTCCGTCCTTGAAGGTAGAATCTTGAAACTTGAAGGGTTTTCATCAAGTTTTAAAAAATGTTCCACCTGAGGGTCTGGTTGGGAATGTTTTATTTGGTACTGGTGTGTCGTCTTTGCAGGGGGACAGGAGATGGTAAGTGACCCGTTCAGTAACTGCAAGGTTTTCGATGTGAATTTATTTTAGTTTAGGTTTAATGTGTTCATCTGTTACTGCATCTGTGTCTGACGAATCTCTCTTTCTCCTTAATGTTTTTTTGGGGCAACAGAATGGCGTAAGTATGAAGGGTTTTGCAGTGGCAAAGTGTGGCTGCATGCTGCAATTGTAGTCCTTAATTCTAATCCTAATCTAACCGCCTACATGCAACCAGGTTAGCCAAAGCAGCAGTGTTTCCGACTGCCAGCTGAAAGCCCAGTCCAGTCTTGCTAACTCCTGCACTGCCGTCAGGCCAGGACGTTTATTATTGCAGCCCAATTCCTGATCCCAATGCGTCCGTCCACACTCCGCAGGGCAGCTGGGACTCGTATTCCAGTTCCATCCCACCCCTCGGGCTGGCCATTGGCAGCAGCAGCCCAAGCTGTTAGCGCTGGTCCGGGCGGTGCATCAGGAGGCTGGACAGGCCTGGGTTTCGGCTCTTCTAGAGACAGCTTTGAGCTTCCCTCGTGCCTGGCCGCCCGGGAGACCTGGCTTTGTGCAGGGGCTTCTGTGTGAGAATGGAGGTGCAGTGTCCTTTCCTGTGTGGGCGACGGAGGGGGGTCGCAGCTCAGTCTAGGGGCGCGGACCCGGAGGGAAGGGCCCGCGGCACCGGTCGCAGCAGGACTGCGTCGGGGCTCGGGGTCTCCTCTCTTCCGGCCTAGAGCTGCCCACGGCTCCTCTCCTCCCTGCCTCAAATAGGGTACCTTCATCTTCATCCGCTGTGCCCCCAGTAGAGATGCAATCCTAACACTCCCACCATAAGCTGATGAGTTTTCAGTGATCCAAGGGGGAAAGTAATTGATCGGGGTGAAAAACTTCCACTCAACTGGGTTTCAACATGGCAATCCTGGGAACTGTTTAATTGTAATCCTGGATTTAACACTTAACACATGATTTAATTGCAAAATCAATGACGCCTCGATTCAGGAGGAACTGCGAGAGACGGAGGGATTAGCCCAACTGCTCGATGGGACACAGTTGTGCTGGTAGACCAGGAGACCGGTGACCAGGTGAAAGTCCTGCGTCCATTTGTCATCATGCACACCAGCCTGATGTGGGACTCCTCTAGGGATTGTCAGCAGCGTGAGACTAACCTTCCAGAAATCAATCACACGTGGGCTCAACAGCACATTCTTCTCCTCAGCTCGGTGTGACCAGAAAGCCTCTGGGAACCCGAGGGGGCAGACACACAGTGCAGGAAGCAGGACTGTATAGGATGTGTGTTTTGTCTCTCCGAAGCCTGGGCTGATTTAGTGTAGCATTGTCTTAGAGCACTGCAAACTGTTAAAACTAGCAGTAGTTATTAGGCTTTCAGTAGTTATTAACAAATGACAGATCCTTTCAGATGGTTTAGCCTGTAACTCTTATACAGGTTAGGAGAGAACTACAATGAGCACCATTTCTGGAGTGAAGTATGTACACTAGAGGCAGGCAGCTTATTTCTAATTTTTTGTTGTAGGTTCTGTGTTCCAACATGTTATTAATTCATATCTCGCAGCTAGATCCATTGAGTAATTAAGGGTCCAATAGGTAGATAAAGCACGGGTTGGATCAGTGTCCTGCGGTGTTATGGACTACAGGAGGATTGGTGGCTTGCCTGTAGCCTATAGCCCCTGGCAGTGAATGCAGGGAAAACAGGGTTGAGAAGTCTTAGGGCCCTCTGGAGGCTGATGCCGAGTGTTGGCTCTCCCTGCAGGACAACAGCTTCGAGCAGTTCATCATCAACTACTGCAACGAGAAGCTGCAGCAGATCTTCATCGAGCTGACCCTGCGAGAGGAGCAGGAGGAGTACATCAGAGAGGTGGGAAAATGACGCTCCGAGGTCGCCGCGTCCTTCTGCTGCGTTTGCCGGAGAAGCGTGTCTAAGGACGAGCATGTTCCCAGCGTTTTCTAATTTAAGATTTCGGAGATGTCCACAAAAATGCAGTAATTGGAGTGTCGTTATTTAAATAGGCCGTATGGCATTGTTGTCGGGTAATGATACGTTGGGGGCCATTCGAGAAATAAAACAGCCGTGCCGAAGCGGAGTGTCATTCGTGAGAGCTGCGCAGGTCACACGGGCAGCTGAAATGGGGCCAGGAGTAAGAGTGACCTCTGACCCTGCTCCAGTACGCTGCTCTCCCCGCCCTCGGCCATCCTCAATCTGCTCTGCTGCTGTGCCTTCTCTCCCTGCTCCGGGCCGCCAGGGGTAAACCTGTGGCTCTCCCAGCCCGTGGCGCTGTGGCGGGGTCACGCTGTGTTTGGTTTTCTCTATTAAATCTCCCAAGTATGTGCAGAGCGCTCCGACCTTTTTCCCCCGCTGTCGTTACATTCCTGGCCCGTTTCCAGCGGAGTGCATGGGAAATTGACTTGGGTTGGGGTGGGTGGGAGGTTGAGGGGAGAAGAATGGAAAAGGAAAACCAATCCGGTCTCCAGATCGCCGGTGTTGTCCGGGCCTCTGGAGTCCAGCGCTGCCTGGTGTTCACACGACTGCAGCAGCCTGAATCGCCGTTCAGTGACTCGCAGAGCTGTTCTGCAGGCCTGTATGCAGGCAAGCCTCTCTGAAGTTCAGTTTATTTGTCATATGCACAAGGGCGATGAAATGCTTATTTGTGTGTGTGTGCTCCAATGCAAAAACACTAAAGGAATCGCCAGAAACAAACACAGAACAGCAGCAGCGGCAAGTTGGATAACGTACAACTTTACAAAAAAAAAAATCAGACAAGCAGTGTGAATTAAAAATATCAGTGTGAGCCAGTTACAGGGGTAGGGTTCAGTAATCTGACAGCTTGTGGAAAGAAACTGGAAATCAAGTGTGTCAGTGGTCAGGTTTTTCCAGTTAAGCTGCAGTAGAAATTAATATTTTAATTGAAAATCATGTTAAATTTGGGCTAAGACGAACAACAATGAATGTGTGTTCCAAAGTTCTCTCCTGCCGAGTAAAGGTTTCTTTCCTTCCTCCACAGTGCTGATTCAGTGATGCACATTCTTACAGTTGTTCCTACAGTAAATGTGATGTTTCAGTAACCCCAGTCACTGTCTTTCTCACGCCCTCCCAGAAAATGCACTCTGACTAACTGTTTCATGCACTGCGCAATAGCAATATTCTGCCTGCTCATGTATTAGCAATTTTACGTCTGCACGAGATGTAGCACAGGCCTGGGGCTAAGGCTTGAGTGTAGGAAATTGATTCGGAAACTGCGGAATGCGTCTTCGTCAAAGAAAGTCAGACAGTATACGAGTGTGACTGATCTTTCCTTCGGGGCTTGAACATTCTGGATCTCGGCGAACATGGGTGCAGTTGCCAACTTTAGTATCGGCCATCATGGTACAGTGCCCATGACTGTGTATGCACCTGGAATGTCAAGGAATAAAACCATAAAAAAATCCCATTGTGGGAAAAATCCTTAGTGTGGCAAAGACCACTTCTGTAATTGAGTAAACATGGAGTTTTTGCGTTACCTCTTAAACCAGTCGCAAATACACCCTGGTATGTTTGGTGGGGTGGGATTCATTTTTGGTGGCTGCTTCTTGATTAAAGGATTGAATTCGAAACTCGCTACTTCGGTCGGATCGATCGCCTTCTGTTCTTAAGTCCCTGTTTCTGTTGCAGGGGATCGAATGGACTCACATCGAATACTTCAACAACGCCATCATCTGTGACCTGATAGAGAATGTAAGTGTGGCTCTTCGGGCACTTTCCCTCTGGAGCAGTAACCCTCTCCACATGTGCAGGTTCTCAGTGATTCACTGTACACAAAGACTCGTGAGACCAGTTTAGACTAAGTTTCTCGTTTTTTGTGTAGCACATTCCAGTAGAGTAGTTGCTTTATTACAGGCAGGCGCTTTAACCATACTAATACATTTCTTACACTTTGGGGAATCCCACTGCCACCACCAATGTGCAGCCAGAGAGCACCAGTACTCTCCCTACACACCAGCTCTCAGTTGGGAGGAGAACAGAGCGATGAAGCCAGTTCAGAGATGGGGATTATTAGGAGGCCATGACTGGCAAAGGCTGGGGGAGGAGGTGGGGGGTTTGGCCAGGACACCGGGAGTAACACCCCCTACTCTCTTAATTATCGTCTCATCAGACAAGTGTGACACCCTCCTGTCTCTCCTCTCCCATCTCTCCCTCCCCGTCTGGCGGTCTCGGCAGAACACGAACGGGATCCTGGCGATGCTGGACGAGGAGTGTCTGCGCCCCGGCACGGTGACGGACGACACCTTCCTGGACAAGCTGAACACGGTGTGCGCCGAGCACCAGCACTTCGAGAGCCGCCTGAGCAAGAGCTCCAAGTTCCTGAACGACCACACCCTGCCGCACAGCTGCTTCCGCATCCAGCACTACGCCGGCAAGGTACTGCCCCTGACCCTGCACGACCACCCCAGCTCCGTAACCACAACATACTGCATATCTGCAGAGCCGTCGAACGAGCAGACCCTGCCGACAGTGAGCATGAACTGCAAACACTGACGGATTCACACGTAACGTACCCCTGCTGGCCCTGCTCAGGGAGGAAGCTCTCCCGGTTGGGGTAGCGGGTACGAAAATTCACCCACTTCCCCCCAGGTTACTTGGGGGTTCGGCTCCTCACGCGCAAATCGGAGGCGACCCTTTCTGAGCCGTTGTGGGGACACACGCGGAGAACGATGATATGGCAGCGATCCGCCTACACCTGCCCTGGCAGGGTCTGTGAGTGATGGCAGGAGAGCAGAATCACAGGCTTTTACTGCTCTTTAACAGAGCAGGAGAGCGAATGGTGCAGCAGCGCACAGTGTGTGAGCTGGGGAGAGAAAGGAACCTTCCCCTGTTTATATAGCGGGAGAGAAACGAAATAATGGAAAGAAGTCTTAAAACCCTCTAACTCAAATAATTAACGTAATAATAATGTAACGTAAACTCTGCTCACCTCAAAACATTTCACTAAGCCACCCACACGTTTTTAAGTAAAGTCGAATTTGCGCAAACAACCGTCTCTCCAGACAAGAGCGGTGATCTCTTCCAGAGCCTCACCTGGCAGCCTTCATCCCTCATTTTAGCAAAGCTGATTTTCTCTTTTTTGATTCCTCACAAATTAAGACCACTAAGAGTGGCTTAGAGCTCTCTTTTCTGCTCCCAGCTTCATTCCTCATTCTGAACGGGAAGAACCCATTTTTCCCCAGAGGTGTTGCTGGGGAATGGCTGGGAGAGAGAATGCTCCCCAGGTTGCCAGCACTTGTAATCCTTTGAGAAGATTGTTAATTTTAATAAATCGGGATAAAAATTAATTGAATGGATTTATATATAAAGGTAGCTTAATAGAGAGACAGGCGACTAGATAGCAGCAGCATTTTAGCTTCTTTAATGGGAGGGGCTACCTTTTACAAGGCCCGCCCCTACATAGAACAAGCCAATCAAGTGGAGGAAGCACTGTACCGATGTCATGTCAGCTTGCTGAGCCCAGAGCAGGTGATTCGTTTGACCCAGCGGCTGCCTGTTTGCTTCTCTGCGGCCGGCAGGTGCTGTACCACGTGGAGGGCTTCGTGGACAAGAACAACGACCTGCTGTACCGCGACCTGTCCCAGGCCATGTGGAAGGCCAACCACAGCCTCATCAAGACCCTCTTCCCCGACGGCAACCCGGCCAAGATCAACCTGAAGAGGCCGCCCACCGCGGGCTTCCAGTTCCGAGCCTCGGTGGGCACGCTGATGAAGAACCTGCAGAGCAAGAATCCCAACTATATCAGGTGGGCCAGCAGCCGCCCCGGTGCGTGCCCCCCCCTCCTGCTGAACGCGCCTGGGCTTCGGCAGAAATAATACAGCGAGGGAGCAAACCAGCGGAGGGGGTTTGACACAGCTTCCCTCTTGTGCGCGGCAGATGCATCAAGCCCAATGACAAGAAGGCGGCCCACATCTTCACGGAGTCGCTGGTGTGCCACCAGGTGCGCTACCTGGGCCTCATGGAGAACGTGCGCGTGCGGCGGGCGGGCTACGCCTTCCGCCAGGCGTACGAGCCCTGCCTGGAGCGCTACAAGATGCTCTGCAAGCAGACCTGGCCGCACTGGAGAGGCCCAGCCAGGTGAGGGTGCACTCCCAGAGTTCACTGGGCCCGTATGTCTCCTTAGCACAGCACTATTGTAATTGTGTCGCATTAGATACCCTCTCGGCTTCTTGTCTTTTCTGAAACTGCGTCGCCGTGCTTATGCGAGAAAAATCATTTTGTTGCATTCCTCACCTCTGCTGGATCTGCACATTCAGTGGTTTTTTACATGGACTTTCTGGAATCCTGACACTAAATACTGTTCCGAAACGGCAAAGCCCTTTAAAAATAAAAGTAGCGTTCTCCCCCTCCTGAACGCGCGTCTTTCCAGGGACGTGTCAGACCAGAGTGGGAAAGAGTCTGAACGCTCGCTGCACTCTTTAAGATCCCGTCTCGGGGCATCACGGCTACATGCGAAGTGATCTTGTTTTACTTCAGCTGGAGCTTTTTGCTGGCTCTGGCCTG